AAAACTTATTAAAATAATGCTAAATTGACGTCTTCCTCATAAAAAAATTTAATAACACAAAAAACATTGATTGTTTTTAAATCTTCCACAAGACTGTGTACGGTACCGGTGCGTACATGATGCTCACGAATATGGCAAGTGCTTACAAAATGTTGGCTGTTTATAGCGGAAACCACCGTCCCAATTGAATAATGTTGATTTGTTAATGATAACTGACTAATACAGGGTGTAACTTAAAATGTGCAATACTTTGGAGTATGAGAATATCCATAACACTGAATAACATGACTTTGTAAAGTTTGTCAAGTTTTTGGCAACTGTCATGCTATTGCACAATAGTTAGTAGCAGTAGAGGTCCTTGTGAAAGAGTTCGTCCAGGGAAGTACTGCCACCACCATTTCTGCCCTCAAGTGAGCGTTATTGCGTTCCGGTTTTGAAGGGCAATAGTGCTGGTAAAATTACAGACACACGGGACTTGTCAACTTATGTCTCAGATTAAAGAGTTCAGTGGTAGAGTCCGTCAGATATTTTGCTGTTTAAAGCTCCGAGTGGCACTGTAATTGTTACAGTGTCACTCGGAGCTGCAGCTGTGGCACCCACTGCACTCTTCAGATCATTACAACACAAATTGAATTAAAAAATAATAAACTACGGCTAAAAAAACCTTCTTATAAATACTGTTTATTGTCACGTTCATATGCTACGGGAGCTTTATTGCACATTATGTATAAAGTATATTGTTATAAAACAAGTGTTTAAACAGTGAGCATTGTGAGTGACTTGACTCGTAATGCTCATTGTTGCCCGATGTTATGCGACATGGGAAATTCCGTTTTTTTTAATACTTTCGATCGAAATTCTTCATTGGGCTCTGTTCTATGCCATAATATAAGGGCGCCTTTAAGTTACACGCTTATAAAAGCATTGCAGTAGCGCGACTATGGTGCGGCTGCGGCGCATCTGTAGCGATTCAGTAATTTTTAGTTCACTAATAAAATTGTGACTGTAAAAGTGGCGCGCGCGTGTCACGAAACTGGCGCTGCAAATGCGCTTCTAAATTTGTTTATGATACTAAGTGACGGGACGAACAAGTCGTGCGCCTGTTGGTAAGCGACGTGCCTGTCCATAACGGTACCGCTCACAGCTTTAAATCGCAAATATCTGAACCTGCCACTGTTATGAACTGCAACAGCGCTTCTAAAAATTTTTTTATGAAAGCAAATGACGGGACGCACAATTCGTGCACCTGGGGGTAAGCAACACGCCTGTCCATAATAGCTGCAGTGCCATTCAGAACTTTAAATCATAAAGATCTGAGAGCACTGATACTGCCCCGTCACCCTGAGACACAAGTTGACAAGTCCCATGTACCAGTAACTTCACCAGCACCCTTACCTTTTAACACAGAAATAGTATTGCATGAAAATAAGTAGTAGGTTGTAGCACTAGAGTGGTGATACTGCAGCGCTTGTATAAGCGTCTAATTTGAAGGCGCTCTAACTGCACCTTTATTTCACACCCTATATACCTACTTAGTATACAACAGAAGGGCTAGCACGATAAGGCGCGACTTGCACGAGAGCGTCATAAAGCACGAGATCTCTATGCGAGAATAACAATATCTCATGCTTTATGTCGCTCTCACGCTAGTCGCGCCCTATCGTGCTAACCCTACAGACATTTCAATGGAGTGCTACATTGTGTGACTTGTGCGTTTATTAAGTGCAATTATTGGGTAAATAGAACAACACCCACATTAACCATACATATTATATGAATATTAAAGAGAAAAATATGAACGAAAATAATCATTCGCGACCTTGGTGTAACAAGCTCACATCTCAAAAATTACAACTTTTCAGTAGAGAGATTTAAGGATTCGAAATAAATCGTTAATTTTTAAATACTTAAATAGGAGAGTTATTAAATTTCATACACAGTGTTTTTTTTTTAATCGGGACAGTACGGGGAAATCCGAAACTATAGGACATACAGGGACACTGTCTTAGGAACCATGAAGTCTTTTTTTGTGATAACAATTTTGGCATTGTAATTTTTTTTTAGTCAAGAGTGAGTTGTCCACAAAAATAAATAAAATTGAATACTATTTTTTAATGCTGATTATCTCATTTTCGTCTAAGGATCATTTCATTGTATTTGAAGAAAAAATCGGGACAGCAGAAATTAATTTGTTACACGATAAGATTTACTTTACTCGATCATATAGAATCCTGAAAACAAAATAAAATTCTAAAACTAATTAGTTAAGACTAAGATAATCTAACTTTGCATATTTTTTGTACACTACACGCCAGTCCATAACAGTTGTAATGCCACTCAGAGCTTGAAATCTCAAAGATCTGAGAAGCACCACCAATGCACCCGTCACCCTGAGACATAAGTTGAAAAGCCCCACGTGCCCGTAATTTCACCACTGCCCTTCGCAGTATTTCCCTGGACGAACTCTTTCACAATGACCTCTATTGCAACTAATTTTGATAATATTTCTCATTAAGTACTATAGAGAAACAGCTAAATATTGGTTTTCAACTGAAACCCTATAGTTATTAAATTCACATTTATCCCAAAATTCCGCTGCCCCGTCAGTCGCCATCGGCCTTTGTCAAATTTTCTCCGCCTATTCTTATTTTATTCGTATTAACAAATTGTCAGCGCGGGAGTTGCGGGACGCGAGGTCTGGTCCCCCACAGCTACTGTTGGGTAATTTTCCGAAAAATTTCAAATAGTGTAAACTTTGAGGGAAAAATTTGCGAAAAATTTGAAAATTATAATTTCAAAGGCTCATATTATGTTCTACGTTTAGAAATATTATCTTTTGAAATTTTATTTGGCGTGAAGTATAAAATAAACTTGCGTAGCTAAAGGCCACCTAGAAGAAAAACGAATTTTAAATGATTTCACAACAGCGAAAAAACTTCCAATAACCAAACCACCACCACCCCTTGTTGGCTCCGTCGTTTTCGTTCAGTAACTTCAACTTTTGACAGGTGTCAACGTCAAATGCGGAAAAATGAAGGAGAAATATTGGAAAAAGTCTGGAAAAATATTTATTTTTCTGAAAAATATGATTTGTTATAAAATTAATACAAAGATCGATTAGAAAAAATTCCTTCGATCCGGCCGGATTCGAACCGACATCTCCAAGCAAACCATGCCAGACGCTATGCCAACTAAGCCACTGAACGAACCAGCGGACCTCACGAATTTTCTACGGCTAAAAAGTCGTTGAAAAACCAAATACAAAGATCCGACAACAACAACATAGAAAAATTCATGAGTTCGGCAGGCTCGTTCCGCGCGTATTCTTCGTATCGAAGGATTTTTTCTAAATGTTCGATCTTTGTATTAATAATTATAAAAAACTAGTGGAGTAATTTCACAAAAATATATGAATAATCAATTCAATAAAAAATTTATCAAAATATCATGTGTTCAAAAATGGATTTTTTTCTATGACGCAACACTGGGTGTTCGACACCTCTGGCCGAAGCAGGCCTTGAAATATGTCGCATTAAAATTCCTATTCTACTCGTGTTTGTATTACTTCTCGTCTTCACTAATGGATCAATCAATAAATACAAATGCCCTTGACCACAGATGATTAATTATAAGTAATTTAAAAGTGAAGACAGATAATTACGTTCTTACATCTGTCTCGGCCAGTTCTGTGACAATGATTTGATACTATAGTTTTGCGCCATTTCAAATTACAATTTAAAATTTATATTACGTCGTTTTTAGTTTAAAATAAAATTAAAGTATAAATAAACCCTACTGCCCGGTTCTGCCGTCAGTGATTTCAACCGCAGATTTGTTTTTTATCAACAGGTTAAGTATCAACGTAGCTACAAAGCACTATAATAAATATCATGAAAAAAGGGTCTGATAAGAAGAAACCATGTGATGTATCAGAAGTGTTCGAGAGTTTAGGAAAATACCATGCGGTGCAATACTTCCTGGCTTGTTTACCCTCGATGTTTGTCACTATGATAAACATTAATTTCGTCTTTGTAGCTGGGGATTTGGACTTTCGGTGAGTTACTTTCGATATCCATCTTTACTCTGAGTAATGAGAGGT